ACAAAGACATTATACAATCACCAGGTACACAATTCTATGTTTTTTGTTATTGGTGTTGTTGTGTACACTTTTTAGGCGTTTATATAATTTGTTTATTGTGTACATGTATCGTTACTCGTAACGATCCAGCGCCCTCGTGGGAAAAATCGTTGACTATTATTCAGACGTTTTATATATATATATATATATATATATATATATAAGTCTAGAGATTTGCACAACGATACTAATATAAGATGGTATTATACGAAGATGTTCTTATTAAATCGTGTTGACAAATATTTCGGCTTAACAAATAGCCTTCTTCAGTGTCGATAATTTTAACAATACTGATTGTATGTATAAAAATAGCTCATTAATACAGGTAAGCTTTGGTCTATTGATTTAATCAAAAATCCTGAACATCATAATATAAAACAAAACTCAATACTCAAATATACGTGACTGTGTATATTTACATCCCAAAATGAGTGAAAAATAAAACTTAGTATTTTTTATTGATGCCGTTTGGATGATGTACATTTAGTTCCTTTATCCAAAAGCTTTCCCAAACCTGTCGCTGGGCATCACTCCAGTGAATTTTCTGTTCAATCACTAGGATCTTCATGCGGTTAAAGTCATCAAGTTTGTGACCAGACTGTCTGAAATGCTAAGAAACTGGGAGAAGTGGCTTCTTAGAGATATCACTCCTATGGCCATTGAGGCGTTTGTGGAAAGGCTGCTTTGACTCACCAACATATTGGAGGCCACAAACCGAACATTCTAGAATGTAAATAACATTCATACTTTTGCAGTTAACATTGCAAAATATCCTATAGTTATTTTCGGTTGCCTTACTGTGAAAAGTTGATGAGTGATGCATCTGTAGGCAGCATTTGCAGCGTTTTTCATCACACGAACGACATTCTCCAGAAGTACTTCTATTATCAGACACTTCAGCCCGTACCATCAGGTTCCGCAGACTATTGGGTTGCCTAAAAGCTATCATGGGAGGCTCGGGAAAAATCTCGGATAGTTTGGAATTCTTTTCAACTGTTTTCCAATGCTCATCGGTACATAGTAAATTTGCTGGTTGGTCCTTTTTATAGACTTCTATATATATATATAATAAGTACGTCTGAACCAGTGACAACTCTACGACAGATTTTATCGATCGGATCACCAGTGATGGTGATACAAGGCTGAAAACACATTCTGTATAATTAATTCGTCTAAATAACAGCCCAACAATGTTAGACTGCTGACTGCCATTGGCGATTGATAATTAAACGGATCAAATAATAGTACAGATGACACAACATAGAAAACCAAAGACTAAGCAACACGAACCCCACCAAAAACTGGGGGTGATCTCAGGTGCTCCGGAAGGGTAAGCAGATCCTGCTCCCCATGTGGCACCCGTCGTGTTGCTTATGTTATTACAAATCCGGTAAATAGTCTAATTCGGTAAGTCACATTCGTGAAAAGGTAGGGTATTGTAGTTACGACATAAGGAACATATCCGATATCATCTGTGAAACGGTTATTCCATAACGGTCAACCAACTCGTGATGGCGTCCGTAAAATTTACGAAGGGATGACTTCAACTTCACCATTTGGAACTCTTGGTTTAATAGCTTCCTTGTGAGCAGCAATCCTCTATTAAGGAAATCATGATAAGATACACAAGCCCGGGAATATCGTATCAATTTGGAGATATATACTCCGTATACAGGCGATGCTGGAATGTTGCTACATAGAAATGGAAAGTTCACAATTGGGAAGCTGAAATCATCTCTTTTGTCGTAAAGTTTTGTTTTCAACCGACCCTCATTGTCAATTTCTAGATGTAAGTCAAGATATGAGGCAGACTTAACTGTATCTGTAGTATCCTTTATCTCTAGTTCGATGGGATAGATTCGTTCAAAATAGTCACCAAATTTTGTATTATTTAGTGAGAGTACATCATCTATATAGCGGAACGTAGAGTTAAAGGATATTGCTAACTTCTTATCTTTCTTCCTAAGAAGTTCCTGTATGAATTCAGCCTCATAATGATAAAGAAACAAGTCGGCAAGAAGAGGGGCACAATTGGTTCCCATTGGAATTCCGACAGTCTGTTGAAAAACACGTCCTCCAAACGTAACAAATATGTTGTCAATCAAGAAATCAAGCATCTTGATAATGTCAGTTTCAGAGAATTTTTTGTTTGAATCAGAGTGATTCTTTACAAAGTAGGATTTATCCCTCCCTAAGACAAGATACTTATATCTAAGTTCGCCATTCTTTTTAATGAAACAAAGTAATACCAACTCTTTCAATTTGTCTTTTATATTAAATGGATCTTAAATATTAATTCAATATCGAACAGAAAACAATAAACTCGCGGAAAAGATGGTATACCGCAAACAAAAGGTGCAAAATTTAGTACACCATATCCGGATTTCGACAATTAATGTCTCTTCAGTGATGTTAGGAATCAAAACGGTATTTGGAAGGCCATATAATTTACCTCAATTTAGGATAGACTCTTGAAATTGAAGAGTCGAAATAGAATGAACGGATAATATAAACCCGAAGGCAAATATAATACAAGCCCAAACAAAAAATATAAACAAGTCTAAATTGAAAACAACGTTCAAACCTATGATTGCGTTGGATAAAAATCGCAATTTTTATACGTGTGCATGCAAAACAAATTTTTTAGTAAAGGGGTTTAAATACAGCACAAACAACATTTTCCAAAAGACCAAAAAAGTGACAAAGTCTATATAAACACAACTCATTTTGTTCTTCCCTGGCTGGGATTCGAACTCTGAGATATCGTGGATCCAAATCGCCTTGCACTATGCCCGGGTCGAGTGGTCTAGCGCGTCGAGCATAGTTCAAGGCGATTTGGTGCCACGATATCTCAGTAGCATGAGTTCGAATCCTGGCAAGGAAAGAACAAAAAATTTGCTTCCGCAAATTTACAGGTCTAACGTTGCTATTTAGACGAATTATATATATATATATATATATATATATACAAGTCTAAATTGAAAACAACGTTCAAACCTATGATTGCGTTGGATAAAAATCGCAATTTTTATACGTGTGCATGCAAAACAACTGTCTTAGTAAAGGGGTCTCCAAAATACAGCACAAACAACATTTTCCAAAAGACCAAAAAAGTGACAAAGTCTATATTAACAAAACGCATTTGACTAGCAGGTCGAACAACGGATGTTCTTAAACCCTGCTGACTGCCAGTGGCGATTGCCAAATGAAATCATCACCAGATGTAACAAAATGGATCTTAAATATTAATTTAATATCAAACAGAAAACAATAAACCTGCGGAAATGATGGTATACCGCAAACATGAGGTGCAAAAATTTGTACACCGTATACGCATTTCGACAATTAATGTCTCTTCAGTGATGTTAGGAATCTAAACGGTATTTGGAAGGCCATAGAATTTAACTCAATTAGGGATTGACTCTTGAATATTGAAGAGTCGAAATAGGATGAACGGGTCATGTAAACCCGAAGGCAAATATAATACCAGCCCAAACGAAAAAATATAAACAAGTCTTAATTGAAAACAACGTTTAAATCTATAATTGCGTAGGATAAAAACCGCAATTTTTACAACGGATGTTCTTAAACCCTGCTGACTGCCATGGCGATTGCCAAATAAACGGATCACCAGATGTAACACAATGGATCTTAAATATTAATTCAATACCAAACAGAAAACAATAAACTTGCGGAAATGATGGTTTACTGCAAACATGAGGTGCAAAAATTTGTACACCATATACGGATTTCGACAATTAATGTCTCTTCAGTGATGTTAGGAATCGAAACAGTATTTGGAAGGCCATAGAATTTACCTCAATTTGGGATTGACTCTTGAATTTTGAAGAGTCGAAATAGGATGAACGGATCATATAAACCCGAAGGCAAATATAATACCAGCCCAAACGAACAAATATAAACAAGTCTAAATTGAAAACAACGTTTAAATCTATGATTGCGTTGGATAAAAACCGCAATTTTCATACGTGTGCATGCAAAACAAATTTCTTGGTAGAGGGGTCTAAATACAGAACAAACAACATTTTCCAAAAGACCAAAAAAGTGAAAAAGTATATTTTAACAAAACGCATTTGACTAGCAGGTCGAACAAATGATGTTCTTAAAGACTGCTGACTGCCATTGGCGATTGCCAAAAAAAAAAAAAAAAAAATATATATATATGGTATTAAATTTATAGTTAAGATCCATTTATTACACCTTGTGATCCGTTTATTTGGCAATCGCCAATGGCAGTCAGCAGGATTTAAGAACATTTGTTGTTCGACCTGTTAGTCAATTGCGTTTTGTTAAAATATACTTTTTCACTTTTTTGGTCTTTTTGAAAATGTTGTTTGTGCTGTATTTAGACCCCTCTAACAAGAAATTGTTTTTGCATGCACACGTATAAAAATTGCGGTTTTTATCCAACGCAATCATAGGTTTGAACGTTGTTTTCAATTTAGACTTGTATATATATATATATATATATATATGGGTGTGGGTGTGTCTGATAAAGTTGGTAAACTATTTTATCAAATATAGAAAAATACACAACTGTCCTCATTGATTGTAAATATTTCTGTAAAACGCATGATACCTGTTGTATCACACAGAAAAAGAGTTTCAGAAAATATTTTATTAAGTATGACCGAAATCATGTGTTAAGAATGCCAATTACATGAGGGTCTGGATGGGGTTTACAGAATAGACAATAATGGCAACAACAAAAAAATGAATAGAGAAAAGGAGCAAATCAATAAAAAAAACAAATAGAGAGTATTGGGGTGCAAATAGAATTATTCAGAACATACATTAACGTTTGGGGGCATCAAAACAACAAAACTAAGACGAACTGTTCTAATAAACTTTTTGAAATTAAAATGAAACCGAAAGTTGAATTATTATCGTTTCCAGAAAGTATGTTATTACTCATAACAAACATATACACAGGTAAATTTTTTAAAATTCGGGTATTGAAATTTCGATTGACAGATGGTTACATATATATAGAGAATGTTTATGAGTTTATCTTTCTGGCAATTTGATTATATGTACCTGTGTTTAAATGAAACTATCATTTAATAAGTGAAGAGAGATGTCTGCTTTTGGAGATGATTGTCAATTTTTCTACGATACAAGCTCGGGATGTGAAAAGGTATAGCTATAATATTTTATAACAAAATGAAGTCCGTATTTTTAATTACATACAAAGAAATAAAAATCAGACACACACAATACAAAGACATATGATACTTGTCTTTGTCGAAATAAAGTATACTTTTTATACTTTACACGGTTAACTTGTTGTATTATTTTGTTATACTATGGGGTTATTGTGTTATAATTAATGATTGATTCACCCGCGGAGAGAGGAGTCTTCCTTCAGGGAAAACGGTACTATTACATTTTCCCAGCATTAAGTTGGCCCTTTGTGTACCCAAGGCAGGTGAAGGAAGTCAACTTAGGAGCGCTGTGATTGGATGTAAGGGTACAATATATTTTTTTTTATTTATCTATGAATAACTGCAGTGTGTATATTTACAATATAAATTTTGAAACCTATTGAAATATTTTCTAGAGAATTATTCGAAAAGACTTCCAAAATTCATAAATTTGGTGTAATTTCAATTTTTAAAACAGAATAATAAAGTACTAACACCACACATAACTGTTTTATCCAGGTTTTTATTATAAAAAGGGGTAAATTTAGAAAATGATAGTATTGTCGCCTATGGCAGAATAAATAGAACCGTTTTCCCTTCATAAAGGTAGTATGCACACAGGTGCCGCTGGTATGGGTAACTGTTTTGGAATAACAAATATAGCAATGGGCTGCAATATGACAGAGGTAATATAAAAATGGGTAGAAACTTTTATGTCAATGGGTCATAAATGTTCATCTTCTATCAAGATTTTGTACAATTATCATGAATGGTCCCATGTTATTAAAATCTAATTAATATGTCACATATTGTATATCTGATAGCTGGGAGATACTAGTACATAAATGGATTTTCCTATGGCATACTAGTATATGCAACAGCCACTATGTTCCGTCAGTTACTTTGTTCCGGCGGAACTTTTCAACTAGTTATTTCGTTCTGATGGAACTTTCCAACTAGTTGTTTTATATCGAGTGCAGTCCAAAAGTTCCGGAAAAAAGTAGCTAGTTGAAAAGTCCCTGAACAATGTAGCTAGTTGAATAGTTCTGGCGGAACAGAACAACTAGTTACATCGTTCCGAATATACCATATTTCGTCCTTTTTGTAGAAAGAGGGGGAAGAATGAGTATCAGTATATATAAGAGCAAATCATTAATTTACAAGAATACCCAACGCACTGAAAGGGGTTTCTTTGGGGACAAATATGCAAAATTTAAGTTGTATTTCATAGCTTACATAAAACGGAATAAGTTGCATTATCATGCAAATTTAGTATTCATAGTACCCTCAAGAGAGGGAAGAATACCCCCTCCTCATGTGGTTCTTTGCATCAATTCTCCAAATGGAACTTTGTGACTGGTTGATAAGTTCCGTTGGAACTTTTGGGCTAGTTTGTTAGTTCCGGTTTTGACTTATTTGCCAAAGAGGAACTTTGTGGCTAGTTGATAAGTTCCTTTTGACTTTTGTAATCAGTATCTTGGTTTCCCTTTGAAAGGTTCAAATATAAATGTTGCGCTTTTACTTTGCATCAATTCTCCAAATGGAACTTTATGCCTGGTTGATAAGTTCCGTTGGAACTTTTGGGCTAGTTGTTAGTTCCGGTTTTGACTAATTTGGCAAAAAGGAACTTTCTAACTAGTTGATATGTTCCGTTGAAACTTTTCAACTAGTCACTTGGTTTCGGTGGAACTTTTAAACCAGAGAAAGAACAAAGTAACTAGTTAATAAGTTCCTCCGGAACTTTTCTGCTAGTTAGTTCTTTCCGCCCGGAACTTTCCAATGTCGGAACAAAAGAGCATTTACATATATGTATGGATAGGGATCTTCGCAAAAACCAACAGAAAAATGGGGATGGTTTTTAAACCCAAGCCTGACGTCTGTACCAACATGTCGAAGCCCTCCTAATAATAATCACTTATATCCGTGCAATACCCCTGAAATATTATGGCATAATTCAACCCCTTACTTATAAATCAAACTATTCCCATACATTTTAACAGATACAAAGGAGCAAATGTCATAAGTTTTTAAGGTCAGACTACACCACGACCATAAGAAATAAAAAATATTAATAATACCAAAGTGAATTATAACCAAAGAATTATAAGATATATGCAACCCTCAATAAGGGTAGTTCGATCTCCACTACTGGCTTTTTAGTATTCTAAATACACATTCAGGAAAAGGCCTATAATCCGCAAAAAGGCAAGATCGAGAATTGGGACAACGACAAATAACTTGTCCGTGCTCATCTTTCTGAAATTATTCTATCAAGGTAAATCAAGCAATGATGTTCATTCTGTGTAATTCAATAAGATTGAAATAATTCTCACATGCTTTCCTTAGAATTTAGAAAACTGATAAAAACTTGTGGAAAGTGTAGAAAAGTTAAATGTATTAACTTAATTGGAAGCAAAATATAATATGTTGCCTTTCTAATCTTTTTTACAACAGAAACGTTGATATTCTTTATATATAGAGGTTTTTGTCCAGTGGATGTGTACACTCTACACATGTATATGGCACGCCTGAGCCACTTTTACTACTTAATCTTAGATCATCTCAGATAAACTAGGATTTTCTCAGATAATCCCGGTTTATCTCAGATAAACCAAGATTTTCTCAGCTTTATTCAAATTCGAGAAAATCCTAGTTTATCTCAGAAAATACAGAAAATTCATTATCTGGAGAAAATCCCGGTTTATCTAAAAAAAAAAAATTAAGAAAATCTAGGTTTTTCTGAACGATTTTCAGATAATTCTAATTTATGTTCAGATAATTAATTATCTCAATTTCAGACAATCAATTATCTCATTTCTCGAGAAAATCTGAAGCAACAACTCTTATAGGCGTAACATTGTTTCCTGAAACAACAGTTTTGGTCCCATATCCCACCTTCCACGTTTATATCGATTAAGGAAAGTTTATTCAATCGTAAAGGCACAAAGTGGTATGACCAATTTCCAATGAATTTATTTCAATCACAGGGTCATAATGCGAAAATTGTTAAAACCTGCAGGAGTTTGAATATTTAAATCTAAATAATACAAAACGAAGACTTTATAACAATTTTACACATATCCACAAATATTAGATTTTAATTTTGTTATTCCCAAACTTCCTTTTCCCTCAAGTAGAACAACTAAGCTGGACAACCATTCATTGCTGATTTATGTATGCGTGTTTATTTCTTCTCTGTCATTACAGTTCAACTGTTATTTAGCACCCTAATAAAATGCGATCTTAAAAGAAGATATGGTAAAATGATGTGCATCAATATTTTGTAAGAATGACCCAAACTAATATAAAATAAAATAATGGTCAAACGATCAAAATTTTGTTGTTGTTCAAATTAAAGGATACATCATGAACTTATAAAACTGTCAGACCAACATTTGATAACTATGGTCGTATTGTCATGGAAACAAGGTAGTCCTTGGTTTTTTACAGTAAAAATATAAGTGCCATTATTGGAATTAATTGACGAAAAAAAGATTTAACATCATTTAGTCACAAATTCTCTATTTCGTCTTAGCTTTTTGTATTTTTATGGTGAGCACTGAAATTAATGTGAAACAGTTACTTACGACTACTTTTTGCTTAGTTATGATTATCAGCTCGCAAGGTCTTATGTTTTCCTGAAATTGTTTTCCCCTGTATTCTATGGCGTTGTTATAAATTTTAGTTTTATTGTTTAAGGGAGATCGATGTCCGTTTAGACATAGTGAACCAGCAAGGTCCTGCTTCGTTACTTGTAATTTTTGGCAGAAAGGAAGATGTACGAGATCTAATTGCAACTATAGACATTCAGTAATGAAACAGAAACAGGTAAACAGGTCAAACAATTACGTTAAGGCATCGCTGCCAGTAAGAAATACTTCCTGAGTTTTTATTTAAAAGTCGACCCATCCCGGAAGCTAAGATATGACAGAAAATATATTTAATGTCAAAATATATCAACACACTTCTTTTCTTCCTGTTTATGTTAAGGTATCTGTCTTGAAGACGGGCCAGTCAGTACATGCTACAGTTGGTGGAAGAAAGTAAAATAACAAAAATACCGAACTCCAAGGAAAATTCAAAACGGAAAGTCCCTTATCAAATGGCAAAATCAAAAGCTCAATCACATCAAACGAACGAAACAACTGTCATATTCCTGACTTGGTACAGACATTTCCTTCTGTAGAAAATGGTGGATTAAACCTGAAGAATCGTATGACCCTTACAATATACTCAATTTACACTTAGTCCGTTCATGTATATGTTAGCGGCAATAAGTAAAATTCGGCATTCAGCTTAAATCCTAGGCAATAAGCTAACGCCTAGGCATTAGTAAAAGAAAGGAGAATGAAGAGGAAAATCTGAAAAAAAAGTTTTTCTTTAGGAACTGTATGGTACTTTTAAAAAGGCACACAAACAGGTCATGGCGACAGAGACCGTATGCTTTAACCAACTTAATAATGCAGATTCAAACAGTTATCGTGATTTCATAAATCCATGGCTATGCAAATATTTCTCGTGATTCCATCGAACTATTTCTTTCACTTTGTGCAAATTGTAACATTAAAAAAAGTCTTCAGGGAAGGGAGTAGTAGTTAAACCCATTTTATCCAAAGAGTTCAACAGTAGAGAACAGGTTGATCAAATGGATATTCAATCAAACTCAAATGGAAACTTTAAATTTCTATAAAATCACCTAACAAAAGTTTGTAACATCAGAGCTCTCACGTCAAAATGTGCTTCAGAGGTGACTTTCGATTTAATTTATGTTTTCACATTTTTTGGTGCGCCCCATAAACTGCAATGGTCGCGAATTTACAGCTTTGGTTATATCCGAGTTAAAACTAAGGTGGACAGAACTAGTGACTTTATTTGTTTGACATTTTAAACTTCAGTTCTTGTCGTGTTATTATGTACCAAAGGTATTTTAACTTTGAATGTCTTTTTATTTACTCGTATTTGCATTTCAGGCATTAAGATAAATGCCTGGACACATTTTGCAGGATTAAGCTGAAATCCTAGGAAATTGGAATAATGCCTAACATCATTTAGCAATAGGCTTACTGCCTAGGCGTTAGCTTATTGTCCAGGATTTAAGCGTAATGCCTAATTTAACTTATTGCCGCTAACATATATATAACAAATGACTTGAACGTTTGAAAACTGAAGCATGCATTATATTATACAAAGCTGTGCTTAATTTAGCAATGTGCTTCATTGAACCATGACAATTTCCAACTCTTGGTTAATCCGTATGAGACATCCGAGTTTGAATACAAAAAAAAAAAGGAAAAAGATAACCGTGTTCAACTAGAAAATATTATGTGCCTCTTTCTATATGAATATATAAACATTCTGTTAATGTGCAAGTTTCATTTTATGATGAACATTATAGAATACGTCTCTATTAAAGTAGAGGTACTTCTTTCTCAGCGATCCTTTCATTTACAGAAAAACCGTCAACTAATACAGTGCTGGCATGAAACACAACCATCCGGTTGTACACGACCAGGCTGTCCCTTTAAACACTCAAAACCTGACCGAGTAAATCAGTATGGGTATAACGAGACCCTATATGGTAGGTAATTTGCCATTGTGAACGATTTCCATTCGACGGAATTGTTTTATTTTGGTTATTTTAATCATTCTTAAGTAAATTGAGCTAGTCAAAGTATATGCAGTTTACTCGTTTAATCAATAACTGTTATATTTTTACTTCGGCAGTGACAGACATTTCGGAACTTTCGTACGGACTGATCGGATATCAATTTATTTTAAGTTTGCTCAAAACTACACTGAAAAGTCATATTCTTTTGATACTACTCTAGAAAACAATAATAAAAAAATCATACGAATTTATTTATAAGTTTGAAAAAGAAAGGAGAAAGATACCAAAGGAACATTCAAACTCTTAAGTAGAAAATAAACTAACAACGCCATGGCAAACGAAAAAAAACAAAAGCCAAAGATTACATTTAAAATGTACAAAGCTGAATTATTTTTTCTCCGTATAGCTACCCATGCAGTGGCATCTGTGGAAACTGGTTCGGATTTTTATGAGCCTTCCTCGTCACCGAGTGTCCCTATTTCTCTAAGCTGTACGAGCAATAGTATTATGATGTCGTGGGCAGAACCAGACGGAGACAGTGGTTACTTTAATGGGTATAAAATTGTCTACAGAGAATGCATTATGGGTAGTTCTAATTGGAAATCTATCACAACGAAAAGTAAACAAACAATTTACACAATAAAGGACCTGAAAGGAGGTACCCAATATGAGTTCAAGATTTGTACTATTGACAGTGATGGAAAGGAGGGATCTTTCAGCCACCCAGCAGTCGCATTCAGGACTATGCCATCTCTAGCACAGTCTGTTAAAGATTTAGCAAAGAGAGTAAGACGTTCAGATCCCATAGTTTATAAAATTCCGTTCCAAAAAACTAAAGGTGGCACAAATATTGCAGCGAAAACACAGAAATGTTATTTTGGTAAGAATATATTACAGTACAGCTGTTAAATTAGTAATTTGTAAAATTCCTTAAATTTAGTTGTTTTGTATAATCACTATATTGATTAAGGAATTTATAAAATCCTTGATTTTACTAATGATTTTACAATTACATTGAAACAATTGGGAACTTTTATACAGATTCACTGGATTAGTTTAGAGAATTTCTAATAACACTCTTGAGCGAAACTGGCAAGCCGATAGAAGCGTCCGACTCATGGAATGCAGCAAACCTTAATAAAGAGGATTAGATAAAAATCTAGATATCAGTAAGATGTGGTCTTTTAAGTCATGAACTACATCGATAAAGTAACTTCTAACCACAAAAACATTATGATTATAAAGTTACAATAGACAATATTTATTAGCAAAAACACATTTACATTAAATGGTTATGGCATACAGTACACATGTAGTACAACTGAAATAATAAACTGACAATAATCAAGTTAGAGTGACAGTGGTATTCACACGAAAAAGAAGACTACAAATATGTGTGTATTGACAGATAAACAATTATTAATGTTCATAAAGACGAAGGAGCAAACTAGAGACTCTTACGAACCTGTGTATCTCACCTGGATATATATGTATATTAAAAAATGGTAACTCTCCAACAATATAGACTAGAGCCTGTTGTTCAGTAGTTGTCGTTTGTTGGTGTGTTTCATAGGTGTTTCTCGTTTTTTATATAGATTAGACCGTTGATTTGCCTGTTTGAATTATTTTACACTAGTCATTTTGGGGCCCTTTATAGCTTGCTGTTCAGTGTGAGTCAAAGCTCCGCCTTGAAGGCCGTACTTTCACCTATAATTGTTAACTTTTTATACATTGTGACTTGGATTGAGAATTGTCTCATTGGGACTCATACCACATCTACTTATTTATATAGAGAATAAAATTAATGGTTATTTACAGTATTTATCTACTATAACTTCTGCCAAAAATGCAGACAATTGGTAAAAGTTAATATTTTAAAGATAACAACTCCTTTAAGCTATGTTGACTTATGAATATAGATCTTGTTTTGTTTATCGTTTTTTTGCTATTTAAAGTTTCTTTCATTTTATAGCCTTGACAGCCACAATGATTAACAGTAGTTAAATTATGTGATTCATATCTTTTTTATCAAGCAGTTAAATTACTGCATTTTGTGCTCCACAAGGGTTATTAAAACAACTAATTTTTGGAAACAAAAACTGTGAACAAACGCAGGCATTGTAATTGTGTGTAACCTGAGACTACGTACTGTAACACATAGTATTATAGTAGTCTCAGGTGTAACCGTATACGTCATCCAAACTATATCATTCGTTGTAACTGTAAACTTAAATTTTTCATGATTTCTGTATCTAAATGTTTTAAACATTAATTTGTTAAAAGGGATAGGTAATACATGTTCTTCTATATAAAAAAAAAAACTCATTATTTAATAAATTCATGGCATTTATGTATTCACATGAATTATCATTGATATGGTCATAACTATAGATTTAACTGTTAACAAAGCGCTGAACTGTTAGAAATACTATGGATTTTCTACTCCACGAATAGTTTACCTTAACAGTATTTGGAAAACCTTTCAGAATTTTGGGTCCTGAATGCTTTTCCACGTAGTTCTTTATTTAGCCTTTTTAGTCATTGATTTGAGCATTACTGATGAGTCTTTCGTAGACGGACGTGCGTCTGGAATACAAACTTTTAAGCCTGGTATCTATGATTAGTTTATTTATATGGTTTAAACGGCTAATTAGGGAATTTACAAAGTCCACAGCAATATTTTCAAAAAATAATGATTTTAAATTATTCCAATTCATTTCCTATGTTTACAAATTTACCGTAACATATATACTCTTTCGATGATACATATGGCTGGTGTTGTATGCATAGCTCATGATGGAACTCATGCGATTCTCTCAGTTTTTGTTTCTTATTTGATTTGTCTTCTTAATCGATGTATGAGATTTTAACAACGGTAAACTACTAATGTCAATTTTTATCGAGGACATTGCTGTTAAAGACTGAATGTTTTTCATTCACGTCTGTATATTAAGCAATATTGATATATGCACTTCTATCGTTTTAATGTGATATTGGTTTTTCATTTTAAAACAAGTTGAGTTCGATTTGTAGGTATAGACAAATTCACATGTACAAAGGAACAATTCCTATTCGGACTGACTTGCCATTGTTAGTGGAGATTGCGTAACATAGACTGCACAGATCCAAAACGACGTTATTATAGGTTTACATCTGTGTAAACATTAAAATGTACTTTGCAATCCAACCACATCATCTTATTCTATCTTGAACATTATTAGTGGATTCCTTCATGATTAACGCAGCTTTGTTAACGCTTAATATGATTAAAATTTATGCATATTCCATTCTTAACTTTAAATATTTATCTTATATGATTTCTATAAATTCAGATTTACAGAAGAGAAAATTTAACTACGTATGTTAAATAAAAGCAATAACAATTGACCTGCACTAAATCTACTTTAGATAATTGATGCTTTATGAAATTCGCAACTTAAATGGTTTTCAAAGAAGAACGATTTAAGCAGAAAATTTAAATCTAAGGTAGGAGGAGTAAGTTGGTAATGGAAAAGAGTTGTAGATTACTTGTAATGTACATTTTATTAATACAACATAAGGCTAAGGTATGACAGTTGTACTTGAGTATGTAAAGTAAAGCTTGTATATTTTCCAGGACAAAAGACACCGGGCACTTGTGGAAAAACTATAATGCTTGTTGGAGCTACCGGATCTGGAAAAAGTACACTACTTGATGGAATGATTAATTATATTTTCGGTGTTTCCTGGGACGATGACTTCAGATTAACGATTGTCGAAATGTCGGACGAGGAAAAAACAAGATACCATGACCAGGTGAAAAAATAACATAACGTTGTAAAAACTCGACATTTTTAATAAACGATAAATATTTTAATCCATGACACTAATTCAACACTTTATAACAATGTCTGTCATACAATTCGAGCAAATAATGCCAAAAATATGTTGCATAAAAACTTGGCATGTTCGCTCCAATACCCTTTATTGATTAAAGTAAAAGAAATATGCACAATTGACTGATTTCTTAAACATAGAACTATCAGGCAATTAATATACCCCAAAATTTCTGTTTTTAGATGCAGGTGTGAATTTAAACTCACAAAGATTTGTTTTTACATTTTCTATTAGACTTTTAATCATATAAAGTCCTTACTTGTTTATCTCAAAAGTAATGAATGATGATCTTAAAGGAGCACATTAAAATGCTCTAAATGTAATGATTTATTTACAACTGTAACACAATGTTGACTGCTGTACCCCAATTTTTGACATTTTTACCTATTATAAATAAGAAGATGTGGTATGAGTGCCAATCAGTCAACTCTCAATCCAAGTCACAATGTATAAAAAGTTAAAAATAATAGGTCAAATAAAATTGAGAATGGAAATGGGGAATATGTCAAAGTTAAGAGACAACAACCCGACCAAAGAGCAGATAACAGCCGATGGCCACCAATGGGTCTTCAACGAAGCGAGAAAATCCCCAACCCGGAGGTAGTCATCAGCTGGCCCCTAAATAAAATTGTGTACTGTTTCAGTGAAAATGGACGTCACACTAAACTACAAAACATATAAAGGAACTAAAATTAAAAAACATACAAGACTAACAAAGGCCAGAGGCTCCTCACTTGGGACAGGCGCAAACATGCGGCGGGGTAAAACATGTTTTGTGAGATCTCAACCCTCCCCCTATACCTCTAGCCAATGTAGAATAAAGAAACACATAGCAATACGCACAGTAAAACTCAGTTTAAAAGAAGTCCGAGTCCGATGTCAGAATAGATAACAAAAGAAACTAAACAAAATGACAATGATACATAAATTAACAAAGGATTACTAGCAGTTACTGACATGCCAGCTCCAGAACTCAATTAAACTGATTGAAAGATTTTGTCTTCATCATATGAAAATCAGGTACAATCCCTCCCGTTAGGGGTTTAGTATCATACCATCATAACATATATGAGAAGAACAAAACCCGTATCATGCCAACAAATGGTTTTAGAATAAATGTGTTTATTTCCGATGCAAAGACCCTATGAGTGAATCAATATTAATACCAAAATATGCAATCCTTAATGATCTGACAACAGTATCGTAACTATATCCCTTCCGAATAAGTCTGTTTAAAGGCTTGGTTAGCTTTTGAGGTGAATGCCGACATTTTTGTGCTTTGTAAAGAATATTACCATAAAATATTGGATGTGAAATACCTGAACGTATAAGATGTCTGCATGTTGATTCATATTTACGAATGATGTCCTTGTACCGATGATAAAATTTAGTAAATGTTTTGACTAGTTTGTGATATCGAAAACCCTGGTGTAATAATTTTTCAGTAATACAGAGATTTCTTTCGTTGAAATCAAATACGTTGTTACATACACGAGCGAATCGAACAAGTTGAGATATATAAACACCATAAGATGGTGACAACAGAACGTCCCCATCTTAAAATGGATAATTAACAATAGGAAATGAAATATCATCTCTTTTATCATAAATTTTGGTATTAAGCTTCCCGTTCAAGATATAGATATCAAGATCCAGGAAAGGACAGTGTTCATTGTTAGTATTAGCTTTATTTAAAGTTAGTTCGGCAGGATAAATCTCTTTAGTGTACATACTGAAGTCGTCATTATTGAGAGCCAATATATCATCTAAATATCTAAAAGTGTTATTAAATTTTTGAATCAGATGTTGTTTCGATGGGTCTTTGCTGATTTTTAGTCATAAATTGTAACTTATAACAATACAGAAACAGGTCCGCAATAAGTGGTGCACAGTTAGTTCCCATGGGAATTCCGATAACCTGACGATATACGGAATCTCCATAGCGAACAAAAATCTAGTTAAAATTCAAGAGCAGTTATAGTATCAAAGCAGGTCCAATTGACATAGTTCTTTTGTTTGTTGTTACTAAAAAATGACCTGAAAGAGTTCGGACATATATATTCGCATTCAGACTTTTTAAATGCCCATTTAATCAGGTGTGTGAATTTTTTGTTAATAAGATTACGAGACAAAGTGGTATATAGGGTAGAAAAATCAAAACTTTGAACAGATTCAAAATCACCAATATAAGCATGCAATTAATCAAGTACTTCCAACGAATTTTTTATATTCCAAAAGTAATTAATTCCACTATTTTCAAAGGCCTTATTTGAACAATTTATTACCAGGTTTTTGATTGTACCAAGTGTACTAGTAAGTAGAATAGATGGTTTAGTAACGGAACAATGGCTTGAAGACGAAATAAATATATATTTATAAGGAGTTTTGTGCAGCTCCGGAAACCAGTACATAGTTAGAACTTTCATTGTATTTCTTGACGAGTTATTTTAGCTTATGTTTGATACGAGAAATTGGGCTATTATGGTTGATGTTAAGAGTAAAATGTTCTTTAAAATGTTGAATACGTAAATCAACTATGTTCATTATGGAATTAAAAAAGTACGGCCTTCAACACGGAGCCTTGGCTCACATCGAACAACAAGCTATAAAGGACACCAAAATGACTAGTGTAAAACCATTTAATCAGGAAAATGTCTGTTTTGCTGTCATATAATGGAACTCTATGAGACTATCATACAAGTGAGAGGTTAGCTAGTTATAACACCAGATTTAATCCGGCATTTTCTACACAAGGAAATGCCTGTTCCAAGCCAGGAATATGACAATTGTTTTCCATTCGTTTGATGTGTTTTAGCTTTAGATTTTGCGATTTGATAAGAGTCTTTCCGTTTTGAATTTGCCCTGGAGTTCGGTTGTTTTGTTATCTTACTATGTACTGAACATAAACAATACTTTATTTCAGACTCAGTCACAAACTGAATGGATCACCAGTTATACCATCAGATCAATGAGTGGAAGTAATCTAGACTACGACTTGCATATAGTAGACACTCCAGGCTTCGGTGATACACGTGGGGTGGTCAGGGATAAAGAAATAGTTGACCAAATAAGAGAGTTCTTTACTACAAGAGGAAGTCAAGGCATTATGTATTTAGATGCAATATGTTTTGTTATACAGGCACCCCTTGTTCGATTGACGCCGCCACAGAGGTATCTTTTTGACGCAATTCTATCGATATTTGGTCAAGATGTTGTAAATAACATTTACGTCTTGATAACATTTGCAGACGGTAATCAACCGCCAGTTATTGATGCTTTGCGAGGTGCGAAAGTACCATTCAAAAACTTTTACAAGTTTAATAACTCTGCACTTTTCGTTTCAAAACAACATTCGCAAGAATCGGAATTTGCCAGTCTCTACTGGGAAATGGGGAGGAAAAGCTTTCATTCATTTTTCGATGAACTGCGATTTACACAGACTAAAAGCTTACAGTTGACAAAGCAAGTCTTACAACTTCGACAAAATCTTGAGGCTACAGTTCAAGGATTGCAACCGCAGATTCATGAAGGTCTGCACAAGCTTAACACTATTGAACAAGAAAAGGACATTCTGAGGCGACACGAAACAGACATCGAAGCTAACAAAAATTTTATGTATGATGTAGACGAGATTCACATGAAAAAAATAGATTTATCTGCTGGGACCTACGTTACCAACTGTCTGACTTGTAACAGAACATGTCACTTTCCTTGTCGCATACCCGAAGACAGAAACAAAATGGACTGCGCAGCTATGAACGATGGCCACTGTACTGTTTGTCCAAAGAAATGTTTCTGGGATACTCATCGAAACAATGATTTTCGTTTCGAAACCTATTCAGTGAAGGTAAAAAAATCTTATGAAGAGTTAAAACGAAAATATTTGCTAGCACGAATTGGTAAAGAAAAGCAGACCTCTGTTCTGGACAGAGTCAGATGTGCATTCATACATCTCTACAAGAATGTCCAGAAAATGATGAATGATGTTCGTTGTTATATAAATAAACTGAATGAGATAGCACTGCGACCAAATCCACTGAGTGATGTGGATTATATTGATCTTCTTATCGAGAATGAAAAGAATGAAAAGAAGCATGGGTGGAAGGAAAGAATAAAATTCTTCGTTAAAATGAGAGAGGAGGCAGAAATTATAACAAAAATAGAGAAAAAAGTATCATTTCATCCATTTGGTGATCTCAGCGACCTCTAAGTTTTGAAATCAGATAGACAAACATTTTCCCTAATTGCACTGCACATGGACTTGGACATCTTGGTCAAAAAGTAATTTGACAATTTTAAAACCGATGACAACTATATCTTGTTTAAATTTGACTACCTTAATATATTTGTATCGGTCAATAATAGATTTTAGTGGTAGAAATACGGATGTATAATATGCTCCTGGCATAACTGTTTGATAATTATTTTTATACCGGTATTGCATGAAAACGGAAAATAGATATTGAGAGGGGTTGGTGGATATTTTTCATACTCACGATACATGTAATCAATTTTAAATATGAGTGAACATTTGTGTTGTATAACAAATGTCTAGGCACCATACTTCACCTTTAAAACATTTTATTGATGTACGATTTTAATTTTTTTTTTTTAAATTATATTTTCATGTTCAACGGCTGGACATAAGCACATCTGGAAAGTTGTAGCTACCACATTGTGTAACAAATGTAACAGTTATATAGTCATCAATAACAGAAACTCGGTAATGATCAATCGAATCATGACGGCTTTCGTAAATTATTAGAAAATCACATCAACTTTACCAGTTAAAGTCCTTGGTTCAGTACCTATCTCGTAAGAAGAAATCCCATATCAAGGAAATCCGTAAAGTAAACGCAAGCTCTTTTGTACGGTAAATATTGGAATATATATACTCCTTATACATTTGATGGAATGCTACTGCATAAAACTGGAAATTTACAATCAATGTGACAGTGAAGTCATCTTTTGTCGGAGAGAATAGTTCTCATAGATACAGCTTATTCATACTATGACTTACAACTAGAAATCTACCCACGGTGTTAAATTCGAGGTTCTATGATGCAGGATTAGCAGTATCAATGATATAGGTGTAATCAACATAATCACCAGACCTTGAATAATGAAATGGAAGTACATCATCTATATAACTAAAAATGAAGTAAACGATATACAGTAGCTTCCTCTTATCCATCTACGCAAGCCCGTATGACTTATGCTCTTCGAAAAACTAAATAACAAACACCCAGCAAATCAAAAGAGCTTCTGAGCACTGAAGGGTACAGATTGCGTTCATTTTGCAGTGGGAACTAAAAATTATAAACATTGCATTGTATTGCAATACAATAAATATAGAAATTAGTTATGGACAAAGGAATATAACTTCCTTTAACATTGACATCATTGGTGTTTTTAGAACAGGTAGTAGTTTAGATTCAGGCACTTTCCACACAGACACTTGTCTCAGAAAAAAAAATCCTATATACCTTAATATAACAAAAGGTATTTAACTCGCATTTTTGAAAAATGTCACCCGGTCGCGAAATTCCGTTATATGCCGATTTTATACTCGGTTGTTAACCCCACTAAAACTTGTTCTGCCGTAAATTTAAATTGATTTTTCTACACAATGGTGTATAACACGCCTACTTTTGTTGTCGGAATCATCCGTAGCAGGACTACCCAAGTATGTCAGTCGTAATTATTTTGTATACCTACACCAGATTGGAAACTTAAAACTTGCGGTAAATGATTAATTATAAAAATTATTTAAAAAAAAAACTGTTATTTTTTTGTCTGAATAGAACTTATCACACAGTTAGTAAAATTGTATAAGATTCCGTGAAAAAAAATATAACAAGTGTTATTTGTGGTATGTCTAATAAGTTACGAGTTTCTTTTGTTAGACTCAAATTTCCCCATTACATCAATGTTATTCAGACTCTCTCTGGTCTTTACGTATGAAAGAAGATAAGATCAGATAACTTCGAGAAACATTTAGACCTTCCCATAACATTTGACCAATCGGAAACCTAGATATATAAAGAGAGTGGGAAGATACCTTTTACTGCGAGTCGTATGTTTCCAATCGAGTGTAGGTATACGAAATAATTACGATTGCCATACTTGTGTAGGCCTGCTACGGAAGATTCCGACAACAAAAGTAGACGTGTTATATACCATTGTGTAGAAAAATCAATTTAAATTTACGGCATAACAAGTTTTAGTGGGGTTGACAACCGAGAAATCGGCATATAACGGAATTTCACGACCGGGTGACATTTTTCAAAAAAACGAGTTAAGTACCTTGTGTTATATTAAGGTATATAGGGGGAAAAAATTCTGAGACAAGTGCCTGTGACTTTCCACACTTGACTTGTATGGTTATACATATTCACATTATTGTGTAACTTCAATATCGCAGAACTATATTTCATTGATAATTTTCTTGATGTTTGTTCATGGATAGGATACTAGTATGTAGAATGTTATACTCAATACACTATGTTTCGTTTATTTCAGAATTCTGGAAAATTGATAACTTACTAATATAAGTGTTTTGATTGCATAAATGCAATCTTTACCCCAAAAAGTCTAAACAGCTCATCTGAATTACTTTAGTTGAAAATAATTTAACAAGAGTTCCAGTGGTTTGAAATGGATTTCACAGTTTGCTCTTTCGAAGAATGTATGATCAATCAATCAGAATCTAAGACAAAAGACTAGACGCAGATATATACCATTAGATGACTGGATGCATAGCAATACTGACTAATTAATGTTACGAATTGATAAAAGCGAATTAGAATAAAACATTTAATTTTGGCAAATTATTACAATTTCATACAAAAAAGCAATAATAGACGTAAAGATAATTCAATCAATGTTCAGCACCATCTGTAAACAACACTTTGTCCTCACGTCTATATCCAGCGAGTAAAAATGAATCGAAATCCACACGTTTGTATAAGAGAGGGACGAAAGATACCAGGAGGACAGTCAAACTCATAGATCGAAAACAAACTGACAACGCCATGGCCAAAAATAAAAAGACAAACAGACAAAAAATAGTACAGATGACACAACATAGAGAACTAAAGACTAAGCAACACGAACCCCACCAAAAACTTGGGGTGATCTCAGGTGCTCCGGAAGGGTAAGCAGATCCTGCTCCACATGTGGCACCCGTCGTGTTGCTTATGTTATTACAAATCCGGTAAATAGTCTAATTCTGTAAGTCACATTCGTGAAAAGGGAAGGGTATTGTAGTTACGACATAAGGAACATATCCGATATCATCTGTGAAACGGTTATTCCATAACGGTCAACCAACTCGTGATGGCGTCCGTAAAATTTACGAAGGGATGATTTCAACTTCACCATTTGGAACTCTTGGCTTAATAGCTTCCTTGTGAGCAGCAATCCCCTATCAAGGAAATCAAAATAGGAAACACAAGCCCGGGAATATCGTATCAATTGGGAGATATATACTCTGTATGCAGGCGCTGCTGGAATGTTGCTACATAGAAATGGAAAGTTCACAATTGGAAAGCTGAAACCATCTCTTTGTCGTAAAGTTTTGTTTTCAACCGACCCTCATTGTCAATTTCTAGATGTAAGTCAAGATATGAGGCAGACTTAACTGTATCTGTAGTATCCTTTATCTCTAGTTGTATCCAGTGTGAATGAATATGAATCTAAATTATCAGTGATAAGCTATGTTGATCCATCGATCTCTGATCAGTAAACAATAACATCGGTAATACGTCTATCCACCGAAGAAAATCAGCATGGAAGATACGCTGATATATTAAACTTTAACAGAAAATGAAACGGAAACTACAGAGCATAAATATTGGGACGGATATATAATGTGACGGTTAGTTTTTGGCAATCAAAGGCAGAATGGCAAACTTTTTTTTAAATCACAAGTTGATAAAGGAACCAATCAAAACTCGTTGCTCCAGTATAAAATTCATAACACGTTGCCGTTAACTAAATGTAAAGAACCGAAATAATTCGAACAGTATAAAGTCTATTGCTTAAATCTTCAGTCGCCAATTATATATTTTTAATTAATTAAAAATAGCACATTTTTCATTATTTTACAAATATACAAAAGTCTAACCTGCAGTCAGATATAAAAACATATATACTCTATAGTTTGTTGATTCCGATAAATCTATTCTTCTCATGTTGATTCCAGATGTATTTTAATGTTTATAATCCAAGTATGTCCAATGAATAATGTTAATTCCAAAGTTTACTGTTTCATAAAATACAATAGTCAGTGGCGGATTCAAAGGTGGGTATAGAGGCCGTATGTCCCCCTTTTATCGAAAAATTAACATGATTTTTTTGGCAAAAAATAGTCCTACATATATTTAATTTTCTGGAATTACGCCCTCTTTATAAATCCTGGATCCACCCCTGATAGTTTTTCGTTCGCTGCTTTTCTATGATTTTTTGCAAAACAAAATCACAGTCATATCCTGGTATGAAGGCGAATAAATAAGGTCAAGAAGTCAGTTATTTGTTCATTAGAGATGACCCTTTCGTGGACTTTGGACACTACCGGATTCTTCAGAAAATGTCTTCTATTTTTCAAAACTTTTATATATGAGAGCATAGAACCTGATATAATCACATGTATAGTAATGTTTATCGGTTTACTGATAATACAGGTTTAATAAAAGTTATAATTCCGTATTTATTCTCGAGTCCCCCCTTTTGTCTTTGCATTCTGAACTTTGCTTCCAAATTTTCTAACGTTTGAACGGGAAGCTTGTTCAATATGTTTTGTAAAATCCAGTTCCATCGTCAACACAGATGAAACCTCAGAAAAGAAATAGGCAACCGCCTAATAGTTTACGATCTGGTGCTTCGAAAAAGGCTATTTCTAAGCGTAAAAGACCAAACGTTAGTAAAAGTCATGTGCATTCTGATCCAGAAAGACCCATGGCTCCTCGTGGGAATCAGAACATTATTGCGGCGGGTAGTCATTCAACTCAAGTTATGGTAAATGAAAGCGGAGACGAAATTATTGCCTCCAACCAAAACCATAGTGACCGTGCAGAGTTGGACCCTGTGACAGTAGCCATTCCTGGACCGTCGTCTTCGAGAGTTCTGATGTCGAGTACAGAGTCTCTTCGACCAGAATCACACGATGTCGCCACAACAATCCACAGAAGAGCAGCCGATAATGATTCTAGTATAGTTTCCCAAGTCGAGATGGTCCCATCGATTCAGGATAGTCATGGTATGTATACACATACAGGGGACCAAATGCACCCCCTTTTATCATAGTAGGAGGTCCCAGTCGCAAATTACAGGCTCGCATTTGGCCAGTAATGAAATTTTCCGAGTTAATCACATTCCGGAAACCATTCCTAGCATATTTGATCCGATTGGGGCTCATATTCCATTAAAGATTAAGGAAAAAATTTGGCGGGGTGAGTTTATTCATTTAGGTTTATTGCTAAAATCTGCAGCAGATTTGGGCTCTGATTCTACTTTAGATGGCGATTTTGTTTTGAAAGGAGGTGGCCTGACTGGTTAATAAGAAGCCAGATTCTTTAAACAATATAGAAATTTGGACTTCGGCCTTTATGATCTATATGGCAATTCTATTAGAAAAATGGCCTATGAAAGCCCAAGAGTATTTGAAATATATGCAAAGCATTCGATTAGCGTCGTCTAATGGTTGGGCCGTGTACGATGATCAGTACCGACTAAAAAAAGAGCGCTTTCCATCATCTTCCTGGGGTGTCATTGATCAGGAATTGTGGGTTTTGTGCGTGGTGACGGGGAATGTCAGTCAATCATCGTTTGTAGTCATGAGCAATGATTCTCATTCCTCCTCGAATTATCAATCTCGTCAGGTTTCGGATATTAATCCTAGTAGAATTCAAGGGAGGACTCCTCATAACCAGAGTAATTTTCGTGGCTACAGTGGAGCCGGTTTTCAATCTCGCCAAAAATGTCGGAATTTCAACCAAGGCCGTTGTACGTTTGGAAGAAAATGCAAATTTGATCACAAATGCTCAAAATGTAATGGGCCACACCCAGTTACAAGTTGTAGAACTTAAAAAGGTTAAACGGGGTGACTTGTCAGATTTATATAAATTAGGAAATTCCCCTATCAATGTTTGTGAAGTCGAAAAATGTTTGTTGGATTATCCGGAAATAACTGCTGCTGCCGAATTGATTCAGGGATTACGTTTTGGCTTTAAACTGATGTACGCTGGGCCTAGATTTTCTTTTACTTGTAAAAATTGTAAAAGTGTTTTAAAGAATACAGAGACCACTAGGAAGAAGTTGAATAAAGAAATTGAGCTCGGGCGTATTGCAGGTCCATTTTCAC